GAGGGAGAAGCGGTGCCTGCCCCATCCCTGGCAGTGCTCAAGGCCAGGTTGGACACAGGGGCTTGGAGCAACCTGCTCCAGCGGCAGGGGTTGGAGCTGGAGGAGCTTTAAGCTCCCTCCATCCCAGCCCATTCCATGGCTCGATGAGGTTTGGGTTTGCCCTGTCAAGAACTCGGCCCCTCACAACCTGCAGAGTTTGTCCTGGCTCAAAGACTTGATTCTCCTTCATGCTTCCAGCTGCTCTGGCACAAGAGGCCTCCCCCCTGGACACTTTGCACCACAAGAAGATGACAACTGAGGGGCCTTCAAGTTGCAAGCACTAAACCTGGGACTTGGACACTTACTTCCCAAAGCAGTGAAAACCAACCCCTCTTTTGCCAAGCAAGCCCAGCTCGGGCAGAGCCACCGACCTGCATGGGTGCTGAGAACAGGCTTGGGTCCTCCAGCTGGAAGCCTGTGATGATGGTGACCATTCCCGTGGTGTCATCCTCTCCACTTCCTTGGGACACTGTCAGTTGTTTGCAGCTGTCCAGGATTTTATAGAGATTCCTGCCAGAGAGATCCAAGAGGGAAAAGTCAGAGGGAAGAGCCCTTGTCTGTGCAGTCCCAGAGGGGCTCACGTGGGAAGCAGGACTGTTGCCTGTTGAGGGCTTTTCTGAGCCTCTTCTTGGCGCCGAGTGCTTGGTGCTGTGTGAGATGGGAGATGAACACCCCAAGGGAACTGATCAGCACCACCTCAAGCAAGCTGCAGGATGGGTCCCAAAGCCACCTTCCTGCTGCGAATCATGCTCAGTCTTACCAGGCATCTAAATCCTGCCTCTTCAACTTATGCCTCTCAAAGCTCTTCCCAACATCTTTCTGGCAACGAATGTACCTGAGGAAAGAAAGTCCCTGAGCTCCCATGGAGACCATCACCCAGCCTGAGCCGATGCTCTCCAGCAGCTCCACCCCGTGCTGCAGGACCCCGTCTGCCCAAGGAGCCCCCTGTCCCACCAGCACCACTGGCTGCAGCTCCCCAGTGGTTCAAAGCCCACCAGCCCCATCCCTGCCGTGCAGCAAAGCTCCTCCAGCACCCCCAGGGCCTCAGGGAAAGGTGCTGCTCAGGTTTACACACACACAAAGGGATGTTCTCCCCCCAGCCCCCAGAAGGAGCAACTACAAGTGCATCCGGAGAACAGGATCTGCTCCTTCCCACCTTCCCTCTAGCCAAGAGCATTCCCGAGGCCTGGCTTGCCCTTGGCTGCTCTGCTCTCGGTGCTGCACAACCTGCTCCCGCTGTTGGATCTGCTCCCAGCCCAGATCCACCCATTCCAAAAGCAAGGATCAAGCTTCTCCCACTCCAGACCTGTTTCCCTTCTTAAACTCAGCCTCCAGATAGCGGATGCTGTCCCGAGCTCCCGCATTCTCCTTCTTCAGGAAGTCCAAGCCATCGATCACTAAGGGAAACCACACAAAACCCCTTCTTACAGCTCTGCTCCCGAACCCCATCTGGATGGAGCAGGAATTCCTCATCCCGCTGAGCTGCTGCAGCAGTGGCAGCCCCAGGAGGCAGATGGAGATGCTGAATGGGGCCTCTTTCCTTCCAGCTGCTCTCCAATAGGCTACAGACTCCAAGCATGGACCAACAGGCCCCAAAAGTGGGAATGGGGATGGACAAGGAAAGCACAACAGCAGCGGGAGAGAAGCCTCCACCTCGACCCAGGTGCCAGGAGGAGGCAGATGGGGCTGGTTGATGTGGAGCCCCCTTTACCTGTGCGAGGGATGATGATGATGAACCTCCCACTGGTGGCCAACTGCTTGATGACAGCCAAGTGCTGGCAGAGGGCCTGGGTGTCCGGGACGAGGTAAGGGGACATGGCTGACTGAGCCTTGGGCTGCTGCAGGCTCCCCTCCAGCTGAGACACCTCCAGCTGGAAACACACACACAGCAGACACGTTGCTTCGCGTTTATGCTGAAGA